TTGCCGGGGAATCCGTAGCCGTAGCCGAAGCTGTAGTCGCCGCCGTAGGACGAGTAGTAGTCCGGGTAGTATCCGTATCCATAGCCGCCTCCGAACGAGTAGTCGGGGTAGTAGCCGTAGCCGTAGTCGTAGTCGTCCTTGCCGTAGCTGTAGACGTCCTTGCCGTAGTAGTCGTCGCCACGGCCGTAGTAGTCCTTGCCACGGCCGTAGTAGTCCTTGCCATAGTAGTCCTTGTCGTCGTAGTTTTTGTCATAGTAGTAGTTCTTGCCGTAGTAGTCTTTTCCATAGTAGTCCTTGCCGTAGTCGTTCTTCCCGTAGTAGCTCTGGCCATAGTAGGCCTTGCCGTAGTAATCCTTGCCATAGTAGACCTTCCCGTAGTAATCCTTGCCGTGACCGTAGCCGTAGTCGTCGTAGCCCTTGTACTCGTAGACGTCCATGTGGTGGTGGCCGTAGTCATCCTTGCCGTAGTCGTCCTTGCCGTAGCTGTAGTCGTCCTTGCGGTCCTTGCCGTAGTCGTCCTTGCCGTAGCTGTAGTCATCCTTGCCGTAGTCGTCCTTGCCGTAGCTGTAGTCATCCTTGCCGTAGTCGTCCTTGCCGTAGCTGTAGTCGTTCTTGCGGTCCTTGCCGTAGTCGTCCTTGCCGTAGCTGTAGTCATCCTTGCCGTAGTCGTCCTTGCCGTAGCTGTAGTCGTCCTTGTGGTCCTTGCCGTAGTTGTCCTTGCCGTAGTCGTAGTCCGAGGACTCGGTGGCCTTCTTGGCGTCTTCGAGACGGCGACGGTAGTACTTGTCGTGATCGTGGTGGCGGTGCTTCTTGCGGTGATCGTGGTCGTGGTCGTGGTCGTGGTGGCGCGGGTGGTGTCCGTAGTCTTCCTGCTTGGCGCCGAGGTGGCGGTGCGGCGAGAGGCCTGCAGGAGCGGCGGCACCAGCATCGGTCGCCTGCAGCACGGAGGCGGCGACGCACAGGCTGAGCACGGCGAGGAGCTTGGAGTGCATGTTGAAGGCGGAGGCCAGCTCGGGTGTGGGCTCGGTCGGTTTAGTGGTGGAGTGTTGTGGGGTGGCGAATTGGAAAGTGAGAGAGTTGGGGCAGCGCGGAGGCTGGATGATGGACGAAGCCATTACCACTCAGTAGTCTCTCACAAGGTTGAGAGGCAGCGAGCGAGCGCACCATCAATCCAATCACGGTTTCAGGATCTGAAACCACCATCAACTAGAAATGAAAACCTATCAAGAAGATGGTTCGATACAAGAGGATGTGTAGTATCACTGCGTAGTTTCACGTCAGTGCTACCAAAAAATACAATACAACCAACGCATCAACGTGCCACAGCTTATCTACCTGCCTGGTTTCGTTTCAGAGATACTATACTACTAGTACTTATCTGTACTGTTCTAAACGTCTAACAGCTCCAACTACTCATCTGAACTGCTCTAAATGTTATTTAGTCGTCTTCAATCTGCCCAATGCGAATCAAAGGTGGGCTATATACTGTGTCCAGCGCTTGTTTCACCGACTAAGTAACATGCGGTAGAAGAGTGTTCTAACACCACTAACCTCACACATAAATAAACGTTCGCAAAAAGAAAGATGACATCCATTGGCGGCGTATTACTACTACTTACTACTAGTACTACCACTGCCAGTTTTTATCAACGCTACATGGTGTACACGACAGTACACTTGCCGTGGGCTACATCCTCGCCCATCGTCTACGGTACTTCGACTTCTTGCCTTCGCACGGACGCACGCGCCTCTTACGCTGGTTTACGTTACGTTACTTTACTTTACTTGCCCTTGCCCTTGGACTTGTCCGCAGCGCCGGACTTGGCGGATCCCTTGGACGGCGTCTTGCTGTCCTTCTCCGCCGACTTGGAGGCAACGTCTTCCGTGGTGGTGACAGGACTCGCACCTCCAGTCTCCTGCTGCCCAGCGTCGCCACCCGTCGGTGCGGACTCAAAGCCGAAGCCAAAACCAGGGTACCCATAGCCGTAGC